CCCCACCGGGGCTGCCGCGTGACCGCGGGGGGAGGGGGGGCTGGCTTCACCAAGAACGTGCAAGCTTTTCTGAATTTGCGCCGCTAACCCGTCGGGCCGTCAGTTATTATTAAAGCTCTCCTCCTCAGGGCGGTTTGGGACGGTGAGCCCGCGGCAGACACGACCCTGCTGCCGGACGGGCCGTGGGCACCCACCCGGGCCGGGCCAACGCTGGCGCCTCTCTGACGGAGGCAGACGGGAGTGGGGGGCACCCTGGAAGAGCTGAGACGCGGACCCGGACGGAAACTGGCAGAACGGGCCCAAGCCCGAGGCTGCATCTCCAGCCCTTTGGATGGGAGCATCAGTCAGCCCCAGGGCCAGGGAGCTGGGGCTCCACCGCGTGCCCCCCCCCCCCGGGGGGGAGAAGGCAGCCCTGCCCGGGAGAGCCTCCCGCCCAGAACGAGAGGGCAGAACGCGGTGAAGACCGTGCCTGGGGCTCTCCTTCACGGACGAAACCCAACGAGTATCCCTTTCCCCTCACGGGTGGCTGCTCAAAACCCTCACGTACAAGACCTTCTCCGAGGCTGTGCCCCGGACAGCCCGTGCAGAGGAGCAACCCAGGCCGGCGTCTCACGGCACGCAGGACACACGACACACAGAGCGAGCTCAGACCGGTCAGAGCCTCCACAGTGGCCCCTGGCCCTGGCCTCAGCAAGGGCCGTGTGGCTTCGACACAAGGAGCACAGACAGTGACCGTGAGACCAGGACACACCGAGCCCCTGCAGGTGACGGCGCCAGCACCTCCTGGAAACTCAGCCAGCTGGACGGAGAAGGATCCGCCTGCTGCCACCGCGGCCCCTGGGCCGGAGCCCATGGGTGTCACAGGGTGGGCGGCAGGCAGGGAGCGGAGACCGCGGTCATCTGAGTGTCCACCCAACGTGGCATCTGGGGACGGGGGAGGGCCACCGGGCGGAGAAAGGCGCTTTTCAAAGCGAGGGGAGGCGGGCACAGGCCTTTCCCACGGGCGGGTCCCGGCCGACACCCACTCGCTGACAAGCTGACAAGCGTTTGAGGGAACCCCGTCCCTTCCCTTCCCGGCCCCCGACCTCCCCCGGTTCTCGCGCGCTTGGTGCTGTTTTCAGCTGTCAACGCCTGTGCCCCCCCACAGCGAGGTGCCAGGGTGCAAGCCGAACGGCCACAGCCCCTCCTCTGAGAGGGCCACGCCCCGCTCCCCTCGTAGCTCCAGGGACATGCGGTCGCTGCGCACAGTGCCAGCCCTTCGCGCAAAAGGCGGCCGCCCGGGAAGGGGGCCTCGCTCGGCAGCTTCGACTAGACCCTGCTCAGCGGCCGCGCGGACGGGCAGAGGTGGGCGAGGACCCCGCCGGCGACCGGCACCTCGCGGGGATTCTTACCACCCCGACGTGAGGTGGGAGGAGAGGGGGTCATTCTGACGGACTCGCCAGCCCTCTGTCGCCAACCTTGTCCCCCGAGTCGGGGGCAGCAGAGTCCGGGGAAGCCTGGACCCGGGTGCAGCTCTCCTTGCTTCTGGACGGCAGCCAACCTGAACCTGAACCTGAACCTGAACTGTAGTCTGGGGGTTTGCGGGGCCCATGCGACACGGACCCCCCTGGAGGCTGTGTCGTTATTGACTGCTCAGCGTGGGCACAGGCGCCCGGCCCACGTGCTCGAACACACAACCTCAAAGCTGGGAAAAGGCGGAGCCACAGTGGCCGCGGAAGGAGAAAGGGCGTCGGGTGAGCCGTGGGGGGAGGGCGTCGCCCACGGTCAGTCGGGGGAGCCCCTGTGGTTCGAACACCTTCCCACAGTGCTGGGAGCACGAGGACGTCTCACTCATGTTTCCCGCACGCGGCGGCTAGGGCTGCAGCTGGCCCAGGGAGCCCCCCGCCCTGCCCGTCCAGACGCCCACACGGGTCCTCTCTCCACCCTCTGCCGGTGTCCCAGGGGAGGGGGCTGCTTCCCAGGGCCTGTGAAGGGTCCCTCAGTTTGCACGTGCCACGCCAGTGTCTACTCGCGAAAAGGCTGGAGAGGTAGAGGTGGGCTTACCCACTTTCTGGAGCCGAGCAGATGGAGGTTCTGTCAAGGTCAAGTAACTGGCCCAAGGTTGAAGCTCCTGAATGTTGTTGAAACGGGAACTGAAGCCCAGGTGGGCTGGAGGGTCCCCCGCACCCAATGGTGATATAACAGAAACAATGACAAACACACTTAGCGTGTTTACTGTGCGTTCAGCGCCTCACGTCACCCAACAAGCTCCTGGGGCAGGTACTGTCATTTTAAATTCTTTTCCTTGTCCTCACCTGAGGACATGCCCATCGATTTTAGGGAGCGGGGAAGGGAGGGAGGGAAACATCGATGTGTGAGAGAAACTGACCGGGAATCGAACCTGCAAACCTTCGGTCTGCAGGACCACGCTCCAGCCAGAGAGCCACCCGGCCAGGGCCAGCCGGGAACTGTCGAACCTGCCTTCCAGGGCGAGGCGGTCGAAGGGCAGAGAGGTTTCGGCACCTGCTCAGCACCACACAGCAGGCAGTGTGGTCGGGAGTCCTTCCGGGTCAGAGGTCAGAGTCCCCGTCAGACACCACGGGACACGGCATCTCTCTTGACGCCTTTCTTGTTCCTCGGGCCACCTCGGGGTTTCCCTAGGGCGTCCCCAAGTTGCTCCTGCGCTGAGACCCCTCCCACGGAACGGGAGCCCCGGGGGCGTCCGGGCCCCAGGGAAGGGCTGTGTCTTCACCGCTTCGGCCGACCCCCTGCTGCAGGGTCACGCTCCTGGCCCGCGGGTTCCGGGTGGCACAGGGGCAGGTGCACTGTCTCCCGTGGGCAGCCCGCCCCGAAGCAGGGTGGATTCCACAGTGGGTGGCGCCTCCTCAGCAGAGCCTGGGGAGCTGAGACCCTTCCGCCTCCTCAGCCACCTGCCCCCACCCTTGCAGACAGGGGAAGGTGGGGTTTCTGATCAGATCCAGGGTCTGTAAGCAAGTTCCCCACGGAGACCTCTCCACGTCCCTTTTGGGGGATCCTTCATTCGAGGGCACACTCTAGACAGAACCCCCCCCCCCCACTCGTGGTGTCGGGACATGATGTAGAGTTTAAAGCTCCACAGAACTTGTCCGGGGTGCCCACAGACGGGGAGGGTGGTGGTTACTTATTTATTTTGCCCCATATTTGAGCAAATTGGCTCCCATTTCCCAGGTAACAGGAAACTGTTGGGAAAAAACAAAACGTGATTTTTTTCTACTCCATTTTTTTCCCCCGCTGTGAAGGTGCCCACGAGAACACAGCTGCTGCAGTCTTCTCTCTGCCTTTGTATCTGTTTCTAAACGAATGTACAACCGACGCGGCTCCGTTTGATTTTATGACTAACACTCCGACTTAATGGGGAATTGCTAAGTCCAGCCCGGTCAATAGCATCTTTAATAAGTGAGGATTGCCCATAAAGCACCAATTAATCACGACGGCAAACACTCATCACTCACACGGAGCTCAATGCGACAGATACAGATACAACGTGCACGGGGAAGGCATTGTAAATGCCTGGGAACAAACCGACGTGCACCTTGGATCTGAGTTCCATTTGTCGACTCCAGTCGATATGATAATGAGGACTCTTCTCTCGGCCTGGGGAGCAGGTCTGCCCGCCGGAGACTGGAGTGAATTTAATTGACACTTTCCTGAGATTCAGAATTGCCTCATCCGTGGAGCCTCCGCGTGAATTTCCAATTCAATTTCAGCCTCAGATGGGGGCTCCCCAAACCTAAACACCTTGTTGAAGCAGCAGAAAGTGAATTACGTGGGTAACAATATTTCATCAGGCTGAAACTCGGCTGCGAGTGTCCAAGGCGGTAAAACTGCAAATAAATTGCTAAGTCACAGGGAAATTGATGACTGGTATCAGGTTTAAAACCAGGACGACTAGTTACAAACAGAGAGAAGAGGAAGCATCCCTTTCATGTAGCACAGTTTACTGCTATGTTCAAGTTCAAAACGGAGGTTGGGGCAAAACGCTGTCCGCGATCCCTCAACTTCAAATTAGCGTTAAGTTCGGTGACTCTGAGCGCGCGTGCGCAGCTGCGCTGCTCAGGGCTTTTTTTTTTTTTTAAACTAAGGTTTTCCTACTCGGAGACTTTTGAACACGTGTGGTCACAGTGTCACTGTATTATAACGCGCACAGAACTTTCAGCTGTAGGGGAGGGAAACGAGTGCCTTGACCCTCCGAGGGGCCCGGCTGCGTCTGGAAATTAAACTACAACAGGGACCAGAAGGAAACCGCCGCGTTTTATCCAGTGCTGACGCGCGCACGGAGACCGCACAGGCGAACGGAGACTCGGGCCAGGTGCGGCGCAGGCAGCGTGCGCCCTGCGCGCAAAGAATGACGCATCCGCGCAGCGGGGACAAGACAGGGTGGGCGGGGGGCAGGGGCCGTGGGTGTGAAGCGGAGACCAGGCGGGTGCGGGAGACTGAACGGGAGTGTTTGTGCAGGATGCTCAGCCCCAAGTTCCCAGTCCCTGGTGACAGCATGTCCGCTGTCCTCCGCGCCAGGAGCTCTGTCCACAGGGGACATTCACAGCCCGTTCCTGGGTGGCCGGGGTCGACGCAACATCCCTGCGTCTGCCTCTCAAACTCCTCGCCCGGGGCCGGGCGGCACGTCCAGGGCCCGTGTGGGGGTAGCACGTCCTGACCCCATCACAGCTCGCTGTCAACAGAACTTGAAACGGCGCAACCCGGGCGAGGCGTGCTCTCTGCCACCTGGCAAACATTCTAAGCAACTCAGATATCATTATAAGGAATTTTAAAAAGGACCAGAGCCCGCCCAGTAACAGCTGCTCAGACAAAAATAACACTTGACAAGAGGTAAGAACACACCGTGTCCTTCTGGAGGCCTGTTTGAAAACCCCCGGGGAACTCTGAGTCAGAGAGTCAGAGAGTCCCTGGGGCCCCTCCCTGTGCCCCCACATCCATGTGCCCCGCGGCCCTGTGTCCCCTCACCCCCCGAGTCCCCGCCGGGAACGGTCCACTGAGAGCCGTGGCCACGCCTCAGGTGCGCAGGGAGAGCCAAGAAGCTGCTCGGGGAGGAACAGGTGTGGGAGGGGGAGGAGCGGGAGCAGCTTCCCTGCCCAGGATCCTCCCGGAGCAGGAGCCCAGGTCTGGGTCGCTGTGGCCTCTGCCCGGATGCAGGGCGGGGCTCGCCCTCTCTCCAAGGTCACCCACTGCTGAAGGGCAGGGGGCCTGGGACCAGCCTGCTCCACCTGCCACCGCAGGGAGGCCGGCGTCGGGTTTGCAGGAGAGGGGCCACCTGTGAATGCCGGCAAGCCAGGTGGGCTGGCCGCCTCGACAGGAATGCCCACCACTTGGACGTCCCCAGGTGAGAGTTCGTGGAGCACTTCCCCTGGCGGCCCCCGGAGGGCTGGCGGGGTGGGGCGGGGCGGGGGGAGCAGGTGCCAGCTGTGGGGGAGGGGAGGGAGGCCGGGGTCTGATGCGGAGGGCAGAGAAGGAAAGCCTGGTCTGGGGGACAGGCGTGGGCATCGCCTGCTGTCCCGGACCCGAGGGGCAGTCCGCGAGCCCTGCCCAGACCCGGGACTGGGGGGAGCCACCTGCTCTGCGGCCGAGGAACCCTGTGGAGCGTGGTGCCCTGTCCCGCTGTCCTCGCTGGGGTCTGGTCCCCTCAGGAGGGCGGCCAGGCCGAGCTGCTCTGCCTCGGGTGCTGAGGACGCCTCTGCGGCCGGCGGCCGGCGGCTGGTGTGTTGATGCCTGGACCCCGGCCCCCGCCTCTGACCAGGAACCGTCTCCACAGGGCGGTCTGTGTCCTCACCCTGCCGGGCGGAGCCCACCAGGACCGGCTGGCCCCGCGCTGACGCTCTGTCTCCCAGACAGTCCGCCCAAGTGGGGGGCAGGCTGGGACCCCCGTGTGTGCCTCCTGCTGCTCTTCATCCGCGCAGTCTTCTCACGGGGAGCCTGGGCGGTGCCCAGAGCGCACTCACGGGGCTGTTCCTTGCGACCACTTTGTCCAGAAACATGGCTTTTCTGGGTTATTTGACATCGATTTTGTCCTATCCCACATTTCTTTCTTTCTTTTTTTTTAAAGATTTAATTAATTTATTTATTTTTAGAGAGGGAAGGGAGGGAGAAAGAGAGGGAGAGAGAGAGAGAGAGAAACATCAATGTGCGGTTGCTGGGGGCCGTGGCCTGCAACCCAGGCATGTGCCCTGACTGGGAATCGAACCTGCGACGCTTTGGTTCGCAGCCCAAGCTCAATCCACTGAGCTACGCCAGCCAGGGCCCTATCCCACATTTCATTCCTCTTTTAACTGTTAGAAAGAAACTGGAAGGCGAGAGAGAGAGAGAGAGAGAGAGAGAGAGAGAGGGAGAGAGGTGAGGGGCTGACCCCCGCTCACGGCGGGTGGAACAGCACAGGGCGGTCCCTGAGCACATGCACCGTCTGCCCGTGCAGCTCTGGGCCCCGCGGGGTCGCGCTCCCCCGCAGAAGCCCCCGCCCGCCAACGTTCACGGCTCCTTGTCCGAGAACCGTGTGTGCAGCTCAAGGTCGCTCTTCCAAGGGACCCATTTCCTCTTTCTTCTCAAATCACTGCCTCCCGGGGAGACGGGCACGCCCGGCCACACTCGCTCCTCCAGGCGCGGTCAGCACCTGCGCTCCACAGGCTGACCGTCCCAGGGGCTCACGTGACTTCCCGACGCAGGCGGCGCCTCCCTGGATCAGCCGGAGGGGCCTGGGGTCCCCGTTGGTGCTTTGCGAGCTTGTCCTTTGCGGTGCACAGTGGGGGTTGACAGGACTGTTCCTGGGCTCGTTGGGAGGCTATTTTGTGATATTCGGACAGAGAACACCGACCCTCCGCCAAACCCGAGTCCGTCTCCCCAGTGCAACATCCGTTAGGAGAAAAAAGTTCCCGGCGGGCAACCGATCGGCCAGGTTGGCTTGAAACATCTCCTTAAAACGAGGTTTCGTGTTGAAGGGAAGGTCGTCTTCTAAGACACAAACGTCTCCCGATTGTCAGCTAGTTCCCCTGCCAGCGCCCTCCCTTCCTCCGTTCTCGGCGGTTTCGGAACGCGCGCAGGAAGTCAGGTGGCGCCGCCGCGCGGAGAAGGCGGATCTGTGCGCGCGCAGACGCGCACAGCCCGGGTGTCTGACCCCGGGCCCGCCGAGTGCGGCGCTCAGGCCGAGCGGCCGCGGCCGCCGAGCCCGTCTGCCCGCACGCTTTTCTCTGCGCGAGTTCTCACGCCTGGGCAGGGGGCGGGGGGGGGGGCGATGGCCCACGCGCGCCCGGTCCACATCTCGTGCCCGGCCTGTCTTGATTGGCGGCGCATCACCGACCAGACCCCCCCCGGCGAAGGACAGGCCTGCTGGCCCTGCCGGGGTCATGGGCCCCCCCCACACACACACCCCGAGGAGCTGCAGACGCCCCACCCCGCTCACACTGCAGAGTCCAAGGAGGCCGGGCCGCTCCCCGGAGGCCACCCGCGGATTAACATCAGACACAGCGGCCTGGGTGCCGGGGAGCAAACGCGCCGGCACCGCGCAAAGGCCCCTGCGTTATCCGCCTTCGAAGTGCTGCGGCTGCAGCGGTCGCCTCCGAGAGGTCCGGCAGAGGCCGGCGTAGAGGAAAATCAATGTATTATTATTATTTTTCTTTTTGGTGCCCGTGGCACAAGCTTTCCACGTGAACGTGCTCTATCAGCTCCATTGTGGAGGAGGAACAGTGTCTGGGGGCTCCCGTGGGGAGGCCCGGAAGGACCAGGCCCCCGCAGGGCCCAGCGCGTGGGAGGGGGGGCGCCCCGCTCGCCCGGGGGGCGTGCCGCTGCTCTGTGGGCGTGGCCGGTGCTCCCGCCCACTGCGCAGGCTCCTCCTCCGTCCGGCCGCGGTGGGTAGGAGGGTGGTTCTACTGGGGCCCCTGAGTAACCCGAACAAACAGAACCAACCCTGCGTGGAGCCAGGTTCGGACTCCCGACAGGCAGGAGCGGGCGGCCAGGGCTCCTCTGGGTCCCGGGAGTCGCAGACGCCTGCTCGGCCGGCGCGTGAACGGCGGGCGGCGCCCAGCCGTGCGGGGTGGACTCCAGGACAGCGGTCAGGGGCCTGGAACCGAAACCTGACCTCTGGCCCACGCTGGGTTTCTTCCTGAAGCGCAGGAGGAGGAGGGAAGGCTTACCAGACTCACGAAGTCTCAGTGTAAACGGGGCCGATGCGGAGAGAGGGAGGAGAGGAGGTGCTCGCAGGGGGTCGGGAGGCCTGCGTCTCCTTCAGTGGCTTCTGGGTGCGCAGACCAGCACCCTGGAGAGGTGGCTCGAGATTCTCTCTTTTCCCCGCCCCACACCCGACTTGTCACCTGTCAGCCTAGGAGAGTCACGGAGCCGTGTCACATTGAACCCCGAGACCCCTAGGACCCCGCGCCCTCCGCACTGTTAACTCAGAGCCGGGGCTCAGCTGCTGGGACTCTGCTGTGCAGCAGCGCCCCCAGTGTCTCCTCACAAGACACCGGTACAGCCCCCCTCTTGTGACCGCTGAAAATGCCCCAGGCATGGCCACGGGTCCCCTGGGGCGGAACTGTTTCTAGCTGAGAACCATCGATTTAGAAATCTGAAACGGAGGTCATGGAATCCATAAAATACTTTTTATCGAGATAACCAAGGTGGGAGCTGCCATCCAGAATATAAACATCTTGTCTCTCCTTGTCACTCGCGTTCTGGCACAGCTGCAGTCGTTTCTTGGAATCTACCACAAACACTTTTTTTTTTAAAGTTGTGAGGATACAATCCAAAACTGCAAAACAGACCCTCAAAGGGAAGGCACAGAGCCAGCTTCCAGAGGAGCCCGAGGATGTGCTTTTAAATGCAGATGCCTCGTCCCGTCACCATGGCAACAGAGGGGGGCGCCTCCCTGAGCGGGCGCTCCAGCCGGACACCTTCCGTTTCAAAGGAGCCACAGACCTGGGTGTCCCAGCACGCAGGGACACGCTGGGCCTTCCCTCCCAGGGTGTCTGTCACTCAGTCCTGGTGCAAACCCTCCGACTGTCAAGAGTGGAAACAGCTGGACCACATTCACTGAGGCGTCACTCTGTCAACGCGCCCCCCCCCCGCCCCCGGGAGTCTTGGGTCCCTGGACCCTCGCCGGGGCGGAACGGCGCCCTTCCTGCGCGACCGGCGATCCCTGAGGTGGAGAGATGAGCATGTGCAGGACAGCGAGGGGCCAGGGCTCTGGATATGGGACTCCAGGCTGGGATGGGCCCCGAGACGGGAGCCCAGATCATATCTGCAAGGTGGGGGCAACTGTTCCCTATTTCTCCTTTTGTTTCCATGGAAGTTGAAAAATATACTGAGAATTGTGTTTACAGCCAGAGAGATCTTTCAAGATTGCAATCACAAAGTGCAAGACACCAGCGGTGAGTTTTTTCCCAGTGGGGTTAAACGCCACTATTGGGGGTGTGTCATGTCCCGATTTTCACCATCGGGGTGATGACAGTGCGTGCAGCTCGGGGCCACGGCCTTCTCGGGCTCCTCCGGCACCTCGGCTGGAGGAGCGCGGGGACCCAATGTCTCACTTTTGTGAACTCGGAGCTCGGAAGGCGACGCCGATGGAGCCCACCGTCCTGGTGACGAAGCAGATCGCAGCTGTTCTGGGCCAGCGCCTCTGCCATTCCAGAAAGTCGTCTGAGAGAAATAAGACAGAAGGTGCGGCTCGCCCCCGTCCTCCGGGGAGGAAGTTGTCCTTGCACCCGACAGAATCCCGCGCCGGCTTTCCAGGTCTGGAGCAGACGGCGAGTCCCGGCTGTGCCGCAGCTGTGCCGCGGGGCGGGGGTGGGCTTCTGAGCATCCGTGCCCGCGCCGCGGCTCTCCCTCCGGTCCTCCTCTCCAGGCCAAAACTCCCCGTTCCCACAGCCGCTGTTCGCATTGGTTAGCTCTTCATTTCCTAACCGATGTGGGGTCTTCCTTGAGGTGCTGTGCACTTCGTCAGTGAGGACGGCTGCACCGAAGTGGATTCAGAGCTCACTAAAACGCAACTCGAACGGCACCTTTAAAATCCCCGTTTGTAACCTGGGCGCCGTGTTCCATGAAGAAACAGAACTCTGTCTCATCGCTGAGATCCTGGCTTCTCACTCAGCGAGCTCAGATCCTTGGGAGTCCTCACCCCTGCTTCTTCCTGAGATGGTCTTCAGACGCACTCAGACGAGTAGCAAGCCAGCCTTCACGCGCGGTGACCAACCCTGCCAGGCCCGGGGCCAGTGGTGACGCAGCAGTGGGCGGCCCGGCCAGAGTCCCAGGTGCAAACGGGGTGGTGAAGAGGCAGACGCCAGGATGCTCTGCATCCGGGGGGCAAATCTGAGGCGGATCCAGAGAGTTTTTTCCCACGGGGACGGCGTGAAGAGAAGTCTGCAGAAATTCCGAGTCAGCTTCTGCCTTCATTGTTCAGAACAAGAAAAATGGAGAAAAGCGGAGGAGCTGGAGTTTGCTAATGTCTCTCCTTTATATAAAATTCAGCCATGCGTGCAACAAAGCACACGATGTTACACAGAAAATGATACTTTGTTGTCAAATTACAGGACACGTACATTTAGATAACTTTTTAAAGAGCCAAATATATTCTGATACATGTTTGCTCCCCCGCCCCATCAACTTCAGGTTAACTTCGGAAACGGCAGTTACTCTGAAAGCTAGCCATTGGCTTAAATGCTTATCTCTTGAGACTAGAACAGGTGTTCATCAGCTTAAAATAAAAATAAAAAATAAGTAAGCCGAAAGAAAGAAACCAGAGTCCTACAAAGCACGTAAGGCCAGAACAGACTGCTTTGGAAACCACGGACGTGAACGTTCCAGTCCGTGCAGACGCCCGCTTGTCCTCAAGGCCAACTTCGGGCCGGGCCGGAGAGCCAGCCCGGGAATTCCCGAGGGACACCACTGCACCGGCGGGGAAGGCCCGCTTTTAACCAGAGGTGGGTGGGATCATCCGCTTTCCCGGACAAAACGAAGAGGCGCTTTGGCGTGGACCTGCAGGGTCAGGCCTGAGGCCCCGGGGGACTGTCGGGCGGAGAAGTGTCCGTCCGTCCGCAGACAAGCGGTTGTCCCTCAGGGCCGAGTCGGGAAGAGTCCCCGATTCGCCCCAAGGGCAGCAAACGAGGCGCCGGGTCGATCGCACGTTGCAGGGAAGGGCAAGCGCCCAGTGATCAGAAGTCAGCCACGCTTCTCGGGAATATTTAAAGCCCAAAACTGATCTAAAAACGTGGGGGGAGGGGGCGCACGCCCCACGTTTAAATACAGAGAGAAGTTGTGCTGATTTCAGCGTGTTACTGGCCACAGCTGGTGACCGTCTGCGTGCGCATGAGAAGTTCTAGAAGATCCTGAAGATCCACCCTCGTCATCCTGTATTCTGGGACAGGAAGTGGGGGAGGAGGACCGCGCTTCCTGTACCTGGTCTCAGGTCGGTGTTGCGGGGTCACCTGGGACACATTTCGGCTCCAGGCTCATCCTAGGGCAGCCGGTAACCGAGCAGGTGGTGTGACGGACACATCGCCCTGTGACCGACCGGTCACTTCGGACGCCAGGCGCCGGAGCCACCGGAGCCGCATCTCGGTGTCCGAGGGGCGAGGCTCCACGAGCTCCCCCCCACGCACTTCAGACGTCGTGTCGCTGGGTGGTCTGAGACGTGACAGCGGAAGGCTAGACGCGGCAGATGCGCCCAAACGCGCCAGGGGGTGACGTCCCAGTAATCCCGTCGCACGTTGAAAACGCCGGAAGGTGAAGACGCAGGTGTACCCCGAAGCTACGGAGCCTTGTCGCTCAGCCCAGCCTCCGCGTGCGCAGCGCCCTCCTGTGGGCCGGCAGGTGCACAGCAGCGGCCGACCCAGTGCGCGCACTGCGGCCTGGAGGGGAGCTGCCCCGCCCCCACTCAGCCCCCCTCCCCCGCTTCCCACGGAGCGTCAGACCGCACGCCAGGAAAAGACCAAACTTCCAAACTCTAACCACGGTTTCCGCCGGCTGCGTATGGCTCTCACGCTGCCGTAAAGTCCAAAAATCCAGAGTCAAATCAGCCCAAGTTGGGGACCTCATCACTTCCCAACGGCTCCGCCTCCTCACACCGTCACCTTTGGTGGCGGGATTTCAACCTGCGAATTTCAGGGGGATACAGACACTCAGACACCCCACGCCCCTTACCTGCCGTCGCCGGCATTTCTTCCAGGGCTGCGCCTGGCCCCGTCTGTGGGAAAGGGCAGCACAGTTCCCAGCTGGGCGGCTGCCTGTCCAGCAGCAGCCTGGGGACCCATCTCTAAAGCAGAAGGGGGACCCGAGGTGACCGCACGCCAGCCTCGGGGAAAACCCGAACTTTGCCTCAGCCGACTATTTAGATAATGCTTCCCCATTATCTCTCTTTCTAGGTCGCTGAGCCACAAAATTGCTTGCATGTGCTGAGAACAGCATCGCCCAGGAGACGGTGGAGATGGAAAATCCCCAGGAGACCTGCCAGAGGTGACGGCTCACCTTCCAGGGAGTACGGCAAGGTCGTGACAGGAAGATGAACCCTGCAGGGGTTCCGCCGAGGCCGGGGAGGGCGCACCCACTCACAGAAGCTGCTGAGGCAGGCGGCCCGGGAGGGAGGTGGGAGAAACCCAGCGTGAGGCCCTGGCGGGTGTGTGTGGCCCAGGGGGTTGGAGGGTCATCCTGGAGGCCAGAAGGCCATGGGCTGGATTCCCACTCAGGGCACCTGGTGGGAGGGGACAGGATGGGGACCGTGTCCTCCTGCCCGCAGTCCAGCCAGGCGTGGGCTCCGAGGAAGCCGGGAGAGCAGGTCCCCGCGTGTGGCTGTGGGAACCTCAGTGGTCCTGGGAAGGAGAGGAACTCATTAGGGATTTGGACAGACCCCTTGGAAGATGCAAAGAACAATGAATGTGCTTTCTGTTTTTTTCAAAAACCGCAGCTTCCTTGGCAACCTGGGATCTGACTCAGCGGAAGAATCACAGGTGTGGGCGAGTGAGACGAGGCTCTCGAATCACGGACCTGTCATCCGTGAGGCTTTCATGCAGGCCGCTGGCCGTCGGATTCGGGAAAGCGAGCCAGGGAGCGAACGCCGATTACACACTCACCCCGCACCCTGCGCCCCACGCCCCGGCTTCGGCGCTACTGTCTGAAGAGTCCCCAACTTCTTCTGGATTTCAGGCTCTGGGCGTCTGCCAGAGAAGTTCCCACCTTGTCACGGGAACCAATCCAGGAGATGTCAGTCACATGGGAAGTGGTAGGGTTTGCTGTGTGGTGGGCCCCGGAGAAGCTGGTGGACGGGGGCTGGGGAGGGGGCAGCCTCCTGCTCGGTGACCAGGCCACGCGGCCACGGCCACGACACGGGGAGGCAGGGGCCTGCCGAACCCACGGGGTGGGGAGCTGTTCCAGGTGAGAGCAGCACTCACGGGAAAGGAGCATCTGCGGAAACCTCCGGAAGGAGGCGAGCGTTTCAGAGTCCATGTTGGCAGAACAGAAGGCCTCCACGTGGCTGTGGACGGCCGTGGGCGTGGGACCCCCTGGACCCCAACCTGGTCAGATCCTCACCCTCGTCCTCGGAGACTGGGTGGCGCCTCGGACGCGTCCCCTGAATGAGGGATCCGCCCCCACACGCAGGAGCAGGAGGCCCGGGACTGCCCTCCAGGACACGCCTCCGTCTGAGTTAAAGCCTCCTCGTGGGTCATCTCCACCACGTGCCACGATCGTCCAAACAAACCACGTTTACGCCGGAGCGTTTCTGGGGCCGAAGTAAATAAAGTTCAGAGGTGACGACTAGTCAGGATGTTTAAGACTGCATTTCTGGTAAAAAAATTATTGTTATTATAGGAAACATAAAGAGCAGGTACTTCACACACCGCCTAAACCAGTTACCCATTACCTGAGATGCCCACGCAGTGGGGACTACCGCTTATTCCTGGGTTTTTTACATTAAAACATTTTCGATCACGGCTGGCAGTCGACAGTCTGTCAGTTTCAGGTGAGCGGCAGTGTGGTCAGACACTCACGCACCTCGCCAAGTGGCCCCACCGGCACCACACACGGCTAGGCCACGGCGTGGATTATATTCCCCGCACCGACCTTCCCGGCCCTGGACCCTTCCACTGTGTCTGCTGCGCAGGTGGGGACGGCGAGGCCGGAGCTGGTGGTGGGCCCCCAGTGGCCCCGCTGTTCACCTAGCTGGGCGGCCGTGACCCGCTGTCCAGAGGGGGCGCGTGGTCGTTGCTGCCCTCAATGACCACGAGCAGAGTAGTTCCCCTGCTCCCCGGGGTAGTTTGTCCCTCATCGTAGGAGATTCAGTCGGCAGCAGGTTCTCTGAAACCGTAGGTTTTTGCTGCCTTTAGACACGTGCCCTTTGCTCTAGGTAAAACGTGGTGTAACACATACTACCAAGTATCGGCGTGATAACTGATACTGAATAACTAACACTACCCAGGTAAAGCCTGCGGCTGCAACGAGAGGTGATGAGCCCACAACCCAGGGTTTGCATGTGGAGACGCCAAACCCACCGGGCCAACTCTCTGAGACCACGGAGCATCCCGCTGTTTGGTGTTGTCAAAGCTCTGCTAGTCAGTTCCTGAGTTTTGAAAGCATCAGTGGTTCTTGCAAAGTTACATTATTTCTGACCCTGCAAAGCAGGGCTTGGGACCCAAAGTGTTGGCACCTCTTTAGAGGGAAAAACATCTGTTTGTAGATCAGGAATTGGATCTGGGTGTAATTTTGGGTGTAAAATAGGACTGCTTAAAATAGATTTATTTATAGTGTGCAGTGCCTGGTGAGACCAATTTTATTTTTAATACAGAGCCTTACCATGACTTTTACCCTCTAGACCATCTTTTGCCCAATACACACACACCTGGAATTGAGAGAGACAATTGTCCTCCACTGAATCTTATTCTTGAACTCATCTGGAGCGACGCTTTCTTCTCCTCTAAAGAATGAAGACACACAGCATGCTTGGAGATTCAATTCGTGCTAGAATAATCCTAATCGATATCTTTTAAGGCTCTAAATAGTTATTTTTCAATAAGTGTGTTCATGTGCGGCTGTTGAGGGTAATAATGTATACTTCATTTAACCGACCTAAATGCCAAGAAATTATCACTTTAAAGCTTTGTTAATTAATTCGGCTGCTTTATAGATGCCAAGAGGAGCGTTTCGAAGTCTGGTGGACACACACACACACACGTATGTGGACACACCCACCTGTGCAGACACGCCCCTGTCTAGGGTGGCCTGGGCTGAGCACGCTCAGTAAGTAAGTGTCAGCCACCGCAGTGCAATTGCACGACCTGCGGGCTGACACAGAAGTGCACTGCAGCACGGGCACACGTGTGACGTGTTTATTCCAGAAGGGGTTTGTCTGCTTGGTACTGAGCGGTCCGTTTAGACTTGTGGTGTTGTCCACGTTCTGCTGTATCTCTCGTTTTGACTCCTTTTGGCTCTGTGATGCAGGAAGAAGGGTGCGGTGAAGGCCATTTCCGCGTCCGATGCATCTGTCTCCTCTCTTCTCCTGTCGGCCCCGACCCCTGAGAAATCCCGCGCTCCGAGAACACGGCGCTCACCATGCACAGCGGCGCTTCCTCTGCACGGAGAAGAGATTCAGGCACAGGCACGGAGCAGGGGGCCGGGCGGAGTCCGAGGTCGGCTCCACCAGCAGACGCTCTCCAGCCAAGATCCTGGCACGGGGGGTCCTCATCCAAGCCACAAACTGCATCTCCTGGTGAAATCTGCATTCCTTAATGAATGCATGTAGGAAGCAAGAATAAAGAGAGAAAGTTTCCTTTTTAACGTGGAAAATGTGATTGGCTTTATACGGCTCTGTCTTCTCAGAATCACCTCGGGTCAGAGTGCACCAGTGAAATTACGAGGGAGTGAGAGATGGGCAAGTCGGCAACAGACCAGGTGAGACAACGCTCTCTGAGACGCTCATGTGTTCCCTGGGTATTTGCACACGGGTCTCACACGGCAGGGACGAGGGCGACCCATTCTGGAACTACCTCCCCCCCGTCATCCCCTGACGTTGAATTTAGCTGTGTAATGTCAACGGAGACACAGGGAACCGTGGAGGAATGTGGGAGGTTTTGTTCGTTCTTGCCCCTCCCTCGAATTAGGCAAATCCAAAACAGACATTTGAAGAATGCAAGAATCCCGTTGTTCTCACTCTCGCTCTTAAGGCAAAGTAGAAAATGCATCTGAAAACAACCTTCTGGTGTTTCCCCCTCAAGAGTTTCATGCGGGCATACTCGGGTCTCCTTTGGGCTGGCCGGGCATTTCAGATCGGCATCTCCCTCCTCCTTTCTCGGCGATGAAGCACAATTATGGGGTGAATCCTTCTCTTCGCCGTGACCCTGTTATCACTCTTCCTCGATTTCAGCAGCGGGCCTGTCCTAGCAACGGCACAGCCTCGCATCCCCGGCCTCGGGGGCCAGGCCCACGGAGCCCGCCCGGCCTGTGAAGTGGAAGTGGGAGTAACTACTGGGAGCTCCCACCCACGCTCCTGGTAAAGACAGAAGGAATTCCGGAGACAGAGGCTCCGCCCTCAGCCACCTCCCCCTTGCACCTGCCTCCCAACGCCGGGAAGACAGCGGTGACCTGAAGGTGAGGAGCATTGAGACGCAGGAGCCCCTACCCCTCACGCCTCTGAGACGCCCCACTCCAGCTTCTGCACTTACCCCATTGGAGAAGGTGACACCCAAGTCCTGCTAAAGGCATTTTTACTTGGGATTTCAGTTAAGAACAATAAAAGACATCAGCCCCGGCTGGCATAGCTCAGTGGATTGAACACGGGCTGCGAACCAAAGTGTCACAGGTTCGATTCCCAGTCAGGGTACATGCCTGGGTTGCAGGCCACGGCCCCCAGCAACCACACATTGATGTTTCCCCCTCTCTTTCTCCCTCCCTTCCCTCTCTAAAAATAAATAAATCAAATCTTAAAGAAAAGACATTTCAGAAGTGCCATTTGGGCTCTGCATTCCCTGACGCATTTGATTCGAGCACCAGTTCTGTATGGTCCGTTGGGGGTACAAAATCTTAAAGCACACTGCCTGAGTGAACACCCCACTGCTGACGTCATCCTCAGTGGTGACACACTCAGACCTTCCCCCTGAGAGCAGGAATGAGATGAGGAAGCTGGGGCTGTCACCACGTCCGTCAACCAAGAGCGAGGAGTTCCACCCACAGCCCCTACACGAGGGGAAGCAATGGTTGGCATCCAAATGCAAAAGCAAGACCCGAAGTTATAAAGTTGTCTGCATCCACAGGCAATAATCTCCGTGCAGAAACCCTCAGCTGGAGAGCTGAGACTCCACAGCTGCTGAAGAAACACCTGGGGGAGATTCTTCCTTCGCGAGCCTGAGCTGGAAATGGTCGCTTGGCTGCGACTCCAGAAACACAGACAAGGAAAAGGAAAACTGGTAAATTGGGTTTCGTTAAATTAGAAAACAACTTTTTTTTTGAAAAATTTTTAAAGATTTTATTTATTAATTTTTAGAGAGGGAAGGGAGGGAGAGAGAGAGAGAGAGAGAAACATCCATGTGCGGTTGCTGGGGGTCATGGCCTGCAACCCAGGCATGTGCCTGACTGGGAATCGAACCTGGGACACTTTGGTTTGCAGCCTGAGCTCAATCCACTGAGCCACGCTGGCCGGGGCTACAACAACTTTTGTGCATCGAGAGAAACTAAAGAGAGTGAGAGACGGCCCGTCAGATGGGAGAAAGTGTTTGAAAACTGCACCCAGAGACCCAGAGCACCCCTTCACTCAGCAGCACCCAAAGCAGGAAGGCTCAGGAAGCTGCACGAACACTGTTTCGAAGAACAGAATCAAAGGGTGGACAAACGCGTGGAAAGATGCTGGATCCCACCCGTCCTCAGAGAAGGGCGGAGCGAATGCTCCATGAGGCAGCGCCTCCCACTGTCGGGACGGCCGTTCTCACCAGCGAAGGGGGAAGACAGCAGACGGCGGTGAGGACGCGGGCAAGCCGGACCCCGGGGGAGCCGGCGGGAACGCGGAACGGAGCGGCCGCCGTGGAAAACAGCTGCATGGTTCTTCGAGCAGCGAACCAGAACTTCCACGCGGCCCAGCAATTCCTCCTGCAGGCGCGCTGCAGGCGGGGGTTCCGGAGGATACTTGAGCATCAACGTCCGAGTTCGAACAGCCCTGGGCGGCGGGGACCCACCAGAGCAGCAGGTAAACCAGGTGCGATGACATGCACACAACGCAGCGTTATTCCGCCGCACACGGGGAGGGTGTCCCAACACCTGCAGCGACAGGGACGGCCGTGGGAGCACGCCAAGGGAGTAAGCCGGACGCCGGAGACACAGAGCGGTGACTCTCCTGGTAGGACGTGCCCAGACTCCGCAGACTCGGAGACAGAGGGCGGAAGGGAGGTTCCCGGGCTGGGCGGGGGGGGCGTGTCTGACAGCGCCCTGAGGGTCGCACGCCACCCAGTGGTGCACGGTGCACTGCCTGCAGAACCCGGGAAGTCCGTGGTAGGCACTGTATCACAGTTTTTAAAAATGCGCTGTGAGGATTCCATATACTGCTTTTCACTGTAAAGTTCACAAATAATTTTTAAAATTTAAATGTATATTTTTATTATATTAGTTTAGGAAAACAGTGCAGCATTTCATCAATATTTGTTGCCTAGAAATTCTTAAAGATGGCTGTGAAAGAATATCAATTGAATCTTATCACCATGGCATCTATCCTTGTGCATTTTTAATATGAAATAATCCAAAGCCATAGAAATTCCCGAGTTAAAACTAACTTGCATGGACACTAGTAGACACAGGATTTAACCTAAAATCAATCAGTTTCTTTAACGACCCTTGTCATCTGCCACAATTTAGAGCGCATGAAGTCTAAGGTGAAACTCTTAGGAAAGTCCACACGTGAATTAGGATGTCTAGCCTTGAAATGGTGGTCTAACATAAAACTTATCTTGAAAATAAAGTAACCCGTAATGGATTCCTCCCTAATCTCAACATATTTGTCTGTTTCTTTCCCTTTATGAGTTTTGACTAATGAGACTAATGAGACAAAGACAAAGTAGCTTAATGCTTAAAACACAAGTTTTAGGCACATTGTGAAGAATTGTAAAGAGCATTATATTGCGTAGCTCAGTGGATTGAGCACGGGCTGCGAACCAAAGCATTGCAGGTTCGATTCCCAGTCAGGGCACATGCCTGGGTTGCAGGCTACAGCCCCCCAGCAACCGCACATTGATGTTTCTCTCTCTCTCTCTCTCTCTCTACCCCCCCTCCCTCCCTCCCTTCCCTCTCTAAAAATAAATTAAAAAACAGAACTTTTAAAAAAAGAGCATTATATTTAGTTCACTTTTTCTAATATACGCAGAAGGAATATCAGTCAGCATTTCCAGGATAAATAAACTAAAAATGTAAAGGGTGTCCGATTCTACACTGTATACTCACGATAATTCTTTTGAGATCAAGACACTGTGTCTTGGTGCCTTTGAGTATTTAAGTAGCTTTTCTGTGATAGCACTCTCACAGTTTATCTCCGAATACCCGAGCGCCCCCGGCTTTGAGAGAGCACAGATGGGAAACACACACCGTGAGATACAATGGTGCCCACAGAAAGTAACACGGGACATTCCATCCCAAAATGCAGAAAAAATAAAAAGAATGTCCCCAAAATATTATTTCCCAATCGTCTAAATCCTGTGTGTAACCCATATAAATTCTGCCAATCTGAACCTCAAGTTTCCGAGTGTTAATTAAACACCGAGTTGCTGGAACAGGCTGGTGCCTGCCCCACCCCCTGCCCCCAAGGGCTCATCTCCAAGGCCCTGGCCGACAGCCAAGGGTCCGAACCAGCATCGCTTTTGGCTCCTGGAGGA